ATGCCGTGCATAGACTTTCATACACATAAATAAAATTAAAATTGTTAAGAAAAAGAATATAGAGAAGAAGCAAGTTTACAGGAAAGATGTTGAGTTTGGACATGTTAGTACAATCGACTGTGGGATTGATAGCTCAGAGTTGCCCTCTTAGAGCTGATGAGAAAATGGATTCTGGGCTAAGGAAAATGGCTTGGATAGGAATATAAGTTATAGAATCATTAAGTTATAAATTCATCACTCAATTCTTTGTTCTTCTTTTTATTCATCTTCTTTCTTCCCTAATGTACTGGTGTACTTTATTTCAAGTATTGGATATCTAGAGAGGTTCTATTCTTCACTTTGACCTTCATGCCTCAATGATGTGCCCCTCTCAGCATGGCCCCAGGGACAGACCTGTCTGGTGAGGTGAGGAATTGGTGAAATCACCAACACAGAAATGCACAGACCCACAGCAAAGCTGGAGTCTGGTAGTCGGGGTTATCTGCCTGAGAAACCATCACATATAGCAGAAGCTTAGTATGCTTATTATATACAAGTGAACCGAGAGCTGAGGTTGTCCCCTACAGTTGGACAGGGAAACATGCTTATTAATATAGATAAACAAGGAGTCAGGGCATACAATGTGATCGAGGTGGCAGGGTTTGTTAATTTCAGTAGGAGCAGTCCTTATAAGGGAAGCAGCTTGCAGGCTGTAAACACCCAGGGGGAGAGACCTATGGTGGACATTTTCCACATATGCTGTCAACTTCTTCTTATGGTCAAAAGGAAGGCTTTGATATCCTGAAATGGTATTGCCATTTTCCCATAGGTCTAAAGCTAAGGTCTTTGCTGTGGCTGCCTCATGTCAAGAATACATAATCACTCAGGACTTCACACATTTATATCTTCCTCTATTCCCCACAGTGATGAACTTCAGTTTCTAGATACAAAGCCACCTTGGGTTTTTATATTTTCCTGGTCCTGCTCTGACAAGCTCCAATATGCCCTGTACTTTGCATGAGCCCAGTTGTGGGAAATGCTTTTCAGTTGGTTGGATTTTTTTCATTGTAAATGGTGAGTAGTGGCAGTCTGGTGATGGCCTACATTTCTTATTAGTAGTACCCCATCTGCATGACTATGGGGACCTATCCATCCCTACTGTCCTGAGTTGCCTCTGTGTCTGGGGTGTTAGCCTTGACACATGAACAATTTTTTTTTATAAAACTAGAATATAAGTGTGTGTGTGTGTGTGTGTGTGTGTGTGTGTGTGTGTGTGTGTATGTGTATACACACACTGATGACTGATGGTGGTTCTGTGTGTGTGTGTGTGTATATGTGTGTGCACTAATAGTGATCATCTCTACACAATAAATTTATTTGTGGTTTTCCTGGAAGCTCAAATCCTGTGTGTCCCAATAAGGAGGGGTGTGTGCTATGGCATCATGGTCTCAGGGAGATGGGTTTCCCATTCCCTTCAACCTTCCACTGCACACAGTTGAACTACAGAGATGCAAGTTATGTATGACGAGGTCAACAGAATCTAGAAAGCACTGGAGATTTGGGGACATTGTTTTTAAGGAACAATGAAAAGATGGAGCTCAGAGCACCTTTTATCTCAAAATTATAGTTTCGCTCATACAGACAGGTGTGAGTAGCCTTCATTTTTTTCACATTTTTTCATTAGTACAGTCCTGAAATTAAATAATTAGCTTTAAGGAAACACAGTGTGGGTGAGAAGATGGCTCAGCTATAATGTGCTTACTACGCAAGACTGAGGGCCTGAGTTTGTATTCTCAGCACCCAGATGAACACTGGGCATGGCAGCCCATATCTTTAACTCCAGTGTTGTATGGAAGACAGGTGGATCCCTAGAACTCAGTGGCTGGCCAGTCTTTCCACACTGATGAGTTCCAGGTGCAGCGAAAACCCTATCTCAGAAAACAAGAAGGAGACAGATCAAATAAAACATGTAAGGTGAGCTTCTAGCCTTCACAAGCACACACATAAATGCACACCCATGTGCTTGTGCACACATTCATGAATACACCCACATGAACATGCACATATAATGCCCATATATACATATGTGAAAAATCTTCAAAGGGACTGGGGAGACTTAGTGGTGAAGTGCTCTCTAGAGAAACATGAGTGCTGACTGGAGTTTCAATTTCTAGAACCCATATAAATGTCAGGTGGATGTAGCAGCCTGTCTGTAATCCCAGCTGGGATCTCAGAGCAAGCCGATTGGGGAGACTAGGCATATTGGTAAGTTGAGGCTTTCATCGGGAGAGAACTGCTTTGGTGAATAAGATGGAAGTGTGACGCAGGATGATTCCCAACATTAATTTTGAGCCTCCATATGTATACACACCTGTATATACACTCAGCCACAAACATACATGTGCAACACAGGTAAACATTCATATACATGTGCAAACTACACATATGCTTAAATAAAAGAAAATAAAAATAAATAACAAAATTGGTTTTCTTATTTAGAGAGGGGGAGGGAGGGAGATGAGAGACAAAGATGAACATGAATTGGTTGAGTAGGGAGATGGGAAGGATCTAGGAGGAGTAAGGGGAAAACATCAAATTATATTGTGTAAAAATTAAATGAAAAGAGAAAAGGACAGTTATTTAAAACCCCTCATTAAGATAAGTTTTTGGATAATCTGTACTTTTGAAGTGGACTGCTTTTAAGTGGTGGAAACCACTCAACTGGAGGAAACCCGGAATGGGCATACAAAGATAGAAAGACCCCTGGTGAAGTGTATGCAATTGCCTTTCCATATCCAGTTTGTGCTTTCTTCACTTGCTCCATGCCCATCACATTTGCCCTGTAGGTGGTTCTGCTCCTGCTGCTCTCCTCTTCAAGCCATGATCCTGGCCACTGAATCAGAATCCTGCCATCCCTGCGGTAGTTGAACAGCAGGCTACGGAAGAATAGCAGGGTGATACTGTGGGGCACCAAATTATTTCCCAGGGTCTCAAATTAGATAAACTTATCCCAAGATGTACTCCATCCCACAAACATGTCCTGAAGTGCACACTAGACTGTCCTATCCTCTCCTGCCAGCCTTTCCTTACAAATCCTAAGAAGTAAACTTTGAAGACTAAGTACACTTGAAAACTAGTCCTGTAACTGTTGTATTTCTTTGATAAAATGTGAGTAAGAAGCCAGGCTATTTTGAGTGAAAAGTATGAGTAAATCCTCAGATGTTGGCATTGTAATGGACTTCAGTAGTCATCTGTTTTGATAAACAGCATTTTGAAGATAAGCATTTAGTCCTTTAAACATTGATGGCAAATAGACCTGTCAAGAATCAAGAATCTTATAGTTAGGGTCTGCTTCCTGGCCCTACCATGTTAGAGTAGTTTTGTCAAAGAAGTTTATTTTTGAAGTAAATTTCAATTAACACAGAGAACCATAACTGGACATCTGTATCACACACCTCTTTTAAAGCTACATGACTGGCATGGCAGAGGTGGAGAGATGTTGTAAGAGCCTGAGCTGCAGGAAGATTTCCACAGGGACACAGTATTTGCTGGACATGACAGGGCTGTTACACACATGAACTCACACCAGCTGTAAGAATGGGGAGACTCTAACACACTGTTATCCTTATCCTACTTTAATAGGCAAGCTTTCTGTCAACAGATGTGTGTGTCACCCTAGCCCCTAGAACTCACAGGAGTTCCTGGGGGCTGCAGTTTTAGGGGTACAGTTTCCTAGAGTCCTGGCTATACAGAAACATTGGGGATAGGTAAGAGGGAATGCCACTGGTATGCTGAATATTCAAGGCTAGCAAAACAAGTTCCATGATTTAGGTTGGTTTGATATGTACTTAAGATATGAGTCTTTTCTGTGAGATAAACTGGTTTGCTAAGATTTACATAAATTTGTCTTTCAGTTCCATTAGGACAGGATGGGCTGTTTTATGTACAGACACACTGAGGCTGAAGTTTCAGGGACAATGCAAATCAGTGTGTCATTGCACTTGTGCTTAGTCCTCAATCCCCATTTAATTGTTCTTGTATTACTACCAGTAGACAAAGAGCTAAAGTACAGACAAGGTAAAACACACAGTTGTCCTTGTATTAGTTGGTGTTCTCTAGATGATAGGAGAAACTGATTGTGTGTGTGTGTGTGTGTGTGTGTGTGTGTGTGTGTGTGTGTGTGTGTGTGTGTTATTAGAATGACTTACAAATCCAACAATGACTGTTTACCAATGGGAAGACCCAGATTTCATTAGTTGTTTCCTCCATGAGGCTGGATGTCTCAGCTGGTCTTCAGTATACCACAGAATCCTGAAGAAGGGGACTCTAATGCTAATTAAGGGTGAAGAATGAGTGAGGGCAAGCAGGCAAAAAGCAAAAGCTTCTTTCTTCTTCATGAAGGCTAGCTACTATGAGACGATATGGCCCAGATTTTAAGGTAGTTCTTCCAACCTCAGATTAAATAAATTTCTCACAGGCGTGTCCAGCAGCATAGATGTTTAGTTAATTCCAGATGTAGTCAAGTTGACAACCAAGAATAGCCATTGAAGTCTTTACTGATAAAGACTTCCAAATGCTTTCAAAAGGTTGCAAAGTGGTATTTCAGCCAGCAAAATCCAGGATACCCTTTCAGGAAATCAGCTTTGAAAGCTGTCTTTAAGAATATGGGTTTAGAGCTGGAGAGATGGCTCCGCAGTTAAGACTGTTCTTCCAGAGGACCAGGGTTTGATTCTCAGCTCCCACATGGCAGCTCACAACTGTCTGTAATTCCAGTTCCAAGGTATTTCTCATACAGATATACATGCAGACAAAACACCAATGCATGTAAAATAAAGATTAAAAAGTTATTTTAAAAAGAATATGGGTTCTGGGGGAATAAAAACTTAAAATCTTATAATTGATGGGGTAGGAGGATGGTCTTAATATTACTGGCCCCATCCCCCAACACACCTATTATGTAATATTCTATGTGTATTCCTAAGAGGCTTTTTTGCTTTGTTTTTATGTTTTTTGGCACCCAGGAACTAAATAGCTTTAATTACTTGGATCTGTACAGACTTGCTGACCTCTTTCACCTCACTTTGTTGGAGAAGGCAGTGATTGATTTCCTAGTGAAACATCTCTCAGAGCTCCTGAAAAGTCGCCCGGAGGATGTTCTAACACTGCCCTACTGCCTGCTTCAAGAGGTGCTGAAGAGTGACCGCCTGACCTCCTTGAGTGAGGAGCAGATCTGGCAGGTAAGGGCACACTGCCTGGCATTGGGAAGGCATGACATGATTAGAAAGGGAAGGATTCAGGTGCAACAACCACTATTTGATGAAGCTTGGCTGTCCTGTTCCTTCAATGGGCAAGTCACTGGTGGGCAGCTGCCAGTCTGCAGCTCATCTCAGGATGAAGCCAGCCAGCACTATGGCTTCCTCAAACCTGGGTAAGTCGGAAAGCTGAGGGATTTTCTCTTGAAGCCAAAAACATCTCTTAAGCTCAATATGAGAAGAATGCATTGGAAACAATTTAATACATATCTAAGCCATTTAATCAAAAGGAATTTGGGGTTTTGAGGCAAAACATTCATAAATATTTCTTTTAAAAATTATTTTAATGAGAAAAACTTAGAAATAGCTGTTAGTAGTCAAATAAACTTTTTCGTTTGAGTTTTTAGCTAATTTGTAGGTAATTTATTCGTTAATGAGTTTTATTTTTTGTTTTGTTTTGTTTTTTCATTAATGAGTTTTAAAATTGGCTAACTTAATGTTTTTAGTTTGGGTGAAGTATGAAGGTTAACAGGTAAATTAATACAAGTGGTCATAGGTTCAAACACGGGTGTACTCTAGAATTATTTCAGATTTTTAAAATACTTGGCTTGGAATCCTTTCTAAAAATTTCTAAGAGCATAGTGTGCATGTCTAGGGAGTTTTTTTTGAAAATTGTTTCTTTTATGTTTTAAGACTATAATGTAAATACATTATCTCTCCCTTCCCTTTCCCATCTCCAACCCCTCCCATATACCCCCTTGTTCTTTCTAATCTATGGTCTTTTCCCCATTAATTGTTGTTACATATATATATATATATGTATGTATATATACATATATATGTAAATATATATATGTGTGTGTGTGTGTACATATGTACATATGCAATCTGCTTGCTCTGTATAATGTCACTTGTATGTGTGTTTCAGAACTTACCATTTAGTATCAGATAATCAGTTGTGTGTTCTTCCCTGGGGGAAACTATTTCTCCTACTCTCAGCACTCCTTGATTGCCTATAGTTTGTTTTGTAAGGTTGAGGCCTTATGGGTTGGCCCCTCCCTCCACTTGGGAATATGTATTGTCATCCTTGTTTGGATGGTCATGTTGATGAAACTTTATGGGTGTAGTTTCTGTTGTTACTAGGAGACATAATTTTACCGAAAGCTTCCTGATCTTATAATCTTACTGCCTCTTCTTCCAAAATGTTCCCTTAAGCGTAGGAATATTTGTTGATGTACCCATCAAGACTGGGATATCCAACTCTACATTTTGATTGCTTGTGGTTTTCTTTAGTCATCTCCATATTTTGTAAAGAGGAGTAGCCTTGATGAGGGCTAAGGAAAACACTTATATGTAGGTATATGGAGAAATATTTATGGTGTAGTTAGGGATTATGTTGGTTTAGTAATGTGGTGGTGTAGGTACACCTTCAAGATTCATGACTTTACTAGCCTTGGGTTGGATTCTAGTACCAGGCATGATTTTCTTGTTGTTGAGTGAATCTCAAACCCAATCAGAGAATCCTTGGTTACTATCAAGATGTGTACCCATAACTGTACCTTAAGGTTAACTTACCATGAGGGTCATTGTGTGTTTCATAAATATCATATCTGGGCAGTACTGTTGGTTGCTTCTTTCCTTTGGAAGTATGCATAGTGCCTTCTGGTGCCATGAAAGTTCATTCTTAAGGAGGAAGTGTTCAGACCAGTTCCTACCGAGTAGCATCTGGTTTCTGTGTTTGTAGTGCATGATGTTTTTAGCATTAGGGGCCTTAGCCTTCCACATCTAGGGGAAACCAAGGGCAATAGAAACAACCACTCCAAAGAGGGCTTGTTATGCCTGGTATCAAGGCTTTTGTTAGATATTCTTTGGCTCTTGGAGGGAGTATTTGTCAGCCCAGATGAGAAAATTTCTTTTAAACTTTATATACATACACACACACACACACATATATGTATGTGTATATGTGTGTGTGTATATATATATATATATATACATACATACATATATATGTACACATATATGTATATGTGTGTGTGTGTGTGTGCATTATTGTTTTTTAAGACAGATAGCTAATAGTATGATACCTTATGACTTTTTCTGGCATCCTTATGGTTATTTTACCCCCTCCTCCCTTTGAATTTATCTTCTTCCTTCTTCTCCCCTCCCCCTTTCCCATTTCTCAGATCAATTCATGTGTACCTTACTATTCCCCTCTCTATTGTTCCCCCAACCCCTAAACCAAACCTATGCCTCTTTACTTTCAGAAAAATTTTCTTACTGCATTAGATGGATGTTTAGACCTCAAATGAAGCAAAGTTCTTCCTATACTATAATGGGAAAAAGGAAATCTCCCTCTCTAGTTCATTATGCATTCACCACAGCTTTCAAAAGCCCTTCCTTTCCCCTGACTATAGAGTCTTTTAACATCCTGTCATTGTTTTGTCTAGGGGACAGTGAGGATGTTTTTTGTTTGAAAGTTGATTATTCCATTTAAATCCTCCTGCTCATCCCTAGTGACTGTCCTTGAATACTGCACCTGAAGGCTTTGGGATAGACAGCCCATTTCCCCTCCTTCCTTCTTCCTTCGCTGTCTGTCTCATTCTACAGTACTGTCTACACATTTTGATACTTGGAATGCTGTGCCTTCAGGATAATACTAGGAAAAGTTCAGTGCTCTGTTGGTGGATAAGGTGGTTAGCTCCAATCATACCAAGCATATTCAGGGAGTTATGTTTAATTTTTGCTTGTTTGTTTTATCACTGGTCAAATGTGTCATCAAATACCCCACACTACTGATGCATAACTTTCCTGATACCTGGCTTTCTTCTTTGAACTGTAATCAGCAGCTGTACTTCTTTTTATTGAAAATAGTAAGAGAAAATGGCCAATCAGGTCACAGATATTTAAAACACAATTGGCTTATCAGCACAAGAGGTTATCTCCATCTCCATCTTCTGACAATCAGGAAGAAGGTTCTGTACTTGGTTCCAGTTTACAGAGCAGAGCCACCTTCAAATATAAGTCTGTCAATACCAACCAAATCTCTCCACTAGTCCACAGTCTTGATTTAAAAAGAAGATACTTGCTGCTTCCCAAGTATCCCTGCAAATGTTTATTCAGACAATGGTTAAAAGTGCTGGTGAGAATGTGATTCTGACAGGGATTGCAATACTCTACAGCTCTCCCCTATCATATAAATCATCATGATTTACTATGGCCAACTCAGAGTATGAGGTAGCTAAATCTTTTAGTTTATTAAAGTAAAAAGAAACAGACTAGATTCTGTAATTTTTTCCTCCAAGATTAAAATTTGAGGCCACCCATTCTTGTGGCATCTGTCTGTTATTGTGGCATAGTTGAAGGCACTGCCAGAAATTGACACAATAATGTACAGATATCTGAATACTGGGGCAATTCCATTCTGTCTGCTTAGAAACTATCATGATTTCCTCTCTAAAGGCTACTAGCATTATGAAGTAGAATTTTAGAAACTGGTTGCTGCAGGCAAGAAGATAGTTTTTTAGACTTGATCACCAAAAAAGAATTAAAAGACTCCCACAAATATTGTCAATTCAGGCATTCAGTGGACAATAAGAAATTGTTTTTGCTTTGTCTTAGTAAATAAGTAATTCCCTCATACTCAATAGAGAAAAATCAAATCAGACCAACTATAATGCTTTAAGTAGAGTTAGGTTCATCATTTTTCAATGAGGTTATACTACTAATGTAATATACTATGGAAAAATCTAATATTCAGCCCAGGGTAAAGATTGGGTCTGCCAGAGGATTACTGTCAGGGTGCTTTATAGGAGTGAAACTTGACAGACAGGCTGGAGACAGATCTACAGAATCTCATTAAATTGCTGAATTGTTCATTACAGAACATTCTCACTGTAATAAAGTGCTCATTGACTTTGACAAATCCCCATCCCATGTCTTAAAGAACAGTGAAGAAGGGGTGCTCAGGAAGAGAAAGGAAATTGGCACAAAGTAGGGCAGGTAATGGAAACACACACACGAAGAGTAGTGCCATTTGATTAATATGTGCAACATAGCTTAGGTGAGACTTAGTCAACAAGCATGAGTTTACCCAGGTGGCTGTTGCACTACATACTGATAATGTAATTGGGGCCAATCCCTTTTTTGGAGAAAGGTCTACTTTTCATTATTTACCAGTTTGGCTCTGAAGACCTGTCGTAAGAACCATTAGATTATTCCCAGTGCACAAACTAATTTATTTACCTTTTTCTTTTTCTGTCCCTGCCTTTGATAAAGTATGCTACAACTTGCAGTAAACATTTTGTGGATCCATGGCATCCTAAATCTCTGCAACACTATTCCTTGTTTCTGTGTTTTCTTTGTCCATTTGATGTGTGGGGTGGAGGTAGAGGTTATGTATCCCCAGGTGGCCTGGAACTCACTCTACAGATGGGGATAGCCCTAACCTCACAAATCCGCTTGTCTGTGCTACAGAATCTGCAAATTAAAGGTTTTCACTGCCATACTCATACCGCTTGATCTTATTAAACTTTAAGTCTCTTCTTTTGCATAGGATTTCTTAGTCTGTCCCAAACAGTTTTCCTTCCATTAGCCAATCTCAACTTGGTCTGTTGGTTAGCTTCATTGTGTTTTCAGAGGAAACAGATATTTGAATGACAGTCAGATGTTTTATGACCTAAAAGGACTTTAAATGTATATTGTTTGAAATTCTCCTCAGTATCATTCAACAATTTGGTTTTGTGTTTAGAGGAGAATGGTTTCTCAAGTTTCAAATGAAAGCCACCAAACTACTAGCTTCAAAGAAAGAAGAGAAACAACTGGCAAAAACAAGCAAGTGAGCACAGAGGATCTAGGAGCTCGGGGTCTCCCACTGCATTACCTGGCAAATCTGTTTCAGTTTGATTTTGCTCTCAGGTCAGTGAGAGCATATAGTGCTAACTCCAGATTTGTTTCAGTAGGATATCTTCTGCTGAACTCAACCT